TATGAAGGAATTTTCTGGATTGATTTTTCCACAGGTTTTTGTACCTGCATTTTTAATTACGCATTGTATTTTGTGTTTTCGGGTTATAGAGTTACAACGGATAATGGATAATGGATAATGTCCTGGAAAATTACTAGTACCCTTTCCATTTTTCTAGATATTTTTCTTATAGTGTACTAACTGAACAACAATCACAGGTACAAGCTACTAAAAAGGTGTATCACAATAGGTGTGTTCGTCTTGAAGCGGCGCTGCGCAGTTCGATCAGTGTTTGACATCAAAGCACCGCGAGAGCAATTAGAAAGCATGCAGATCCGTTGAATTATTGTTGAACAATTGCAAATAGCATTTAACTTAAGTCACGTGATGTGTGTACTACTAGGCATCTTTGGTTTTCCTCTTTTTGTGTAATTTAGATGGAAAATGTGTGCCTTTTTTATCGTTTGAGTCACTTATCAAAAGTTGCTAAATGTTGCCAAATAAATTTGAAAAAATAGCTATATTTGTTGCTAGGTGCTTTTGGAAGAAAAAGTTGCTAGGGTAGTCTGAAAAGTTGCTAAATCTAGCAACAAAATTGCTAAGTTGGCAACACTGATCTGACTGTTTTACGTCCCTGTGCGTCACAGCCACGCCCATACAACACATTATTACACCTAACCAACTCATATTCTCATGCGGTTTGTTAGACTGCAGTCCTGGGGGAGAAGGAACTTTGTTGTCAACTGTTCTCTCGCATCCCTGTGGACTGAGAGGCAGCGCGGGAGTCATGAAGCAGGAGGTCAGGGCTGCTCTGGGCTCAGCTCGTCCCTGGCTCCACTCAGAGGCGAACCTTTCTGCTCAGAGGTAAACAGATGCATCTTATCATATCCTGCCCATTTCTTATGTGTATTTATCTGTAAGATGGAGAAAGCAATATATATATATATATATATATATATAGTTACTATATTACTTATTAGGCTATATAACGCACTGTATGCTATTATATATAATGCATTCTGTATTAAATATCATGCATTCTGTATTACATATATTACATGTCATATTGCATATTTGTGCAAACTATTTTATTTTAAACTGTAAATAATTAGCTTCTCTGTTTCCAGCAGAGGTGTTTGTCTCGCCCGGGCGCACTTTGAGAAACAGCCTCCTGCCAACCTGCGCAAGTCAAACTTCTTTCACTTTGTGTTGGCTTTATATGATAGTCAGGGTCAGTCTGTGGAGATAGAGCACACTGCGTTTGTGGACTTTGTTGAAAAGGAGAAGGTGAGGAGATATGTAGAATATATGAAAGAGTGAATTTGGAAATTAAAAATGATGAAGCCTTGCAAAGCATATTTGTTTATTCATTCCTTCGATTTAGGAGCCTGTAAGTGAAAAAACAAACAATGGAATCCATTACAAACTCCAGTTACTGTACAAAAATGGTGAGTACTGTATAAAGTGTGGACTGCTTTAGAATATTCTACTTTAAGAAATGCACTTCATTTGAAAATACAGCTGTCCTTTGTATGATGTTCCGTATTGATGCTTTGTTATTAATTTTTCTGTCTTTTAGGTGTCAGAACAGAGCAAGATCTATACATCCGTTTGATAGACTCTGTGACCAAACAGGTAAAATAGTTTATGCACTTTAATATTATTTGCAAGAATATGTTGTGTGTGTTAGCACTAAAAGATCACTTCAGTGAAGACTAAATGCTTAAATAAAAATCATAACTATGAAGTGATAATGTGAATGATATATAATTGAAATATACTATATAATTTACCAATGTTATATGTAGGGTGTGTTGTCTACAGATCTTTTTTTCACTGAAATGCACGTAAATACTGACATGATACATTTATATATTTTCTTCTGCATAACATTAACCTGCCGTTTGCCTATATTACTATGACTCTTTCAGGCAATTGTGTTTGAAGGTCAAGATAAAAACCCTGAAATGTGTCGTGTTCTTCTCACTCATGAGATAATGTGCAGGTAACTTGTGTCAAACACACTTAACTTATGTAATCTCATGCAAACAGACACACAAAGTCATAAAATAGTCTTACAAATTAGTGTTTATTTGCTGTAATTATAATATGCAGGGGTTTTTTTTCTGTTGATGCAGTGATAATTGTGTTAATCTCTATATGTGAATTTTCAGCCGATGTTGTGATAAGAAAAGTTGTGGAAACAGGAACGAAACACCATCAGACCCCATCATTATTGACCGGTAGGGCAATCAGCTGCATTCTGTAAGATTATAAATGAATAAAGAAATGTATGTATGTACTATAATATGTGTAAGTACAAATAAAGGCAAGAAAAAGTGTATTGTTATTACTTATAAAGATATTACTTACAGAAATTGGGATTCGTCAGCTTTAAGGATAAAAGCAGACAGACAGATTGTACTCTTTCATCTCTCCAATTCTCAGTTTCTAATATTTTCCTCTTCTTACATCATTCTCTCAGTGACTCTTTTTCTCTATTCCCTGATCGACAAATACCTTTACATGTTTGCATGTTTTCTTGTTATTGCATAGGTTCTTCCTGAAATTTTTTCTCAAATGTAATCAAAATTGCCTGAAAAATGCAGGGAACCCACGAGACACGCGTCGTTTCCAGGTACACACACAACTTCATACTGTATATTCATATCACTGATAATGTGTCTGATAATGGATCTATTAATCAACATGAAATATTTAATGAAAAGGCTGTCCCTTACAGTACTGAATTACACTTTAGAAGTGCAATAGTAAAAACTATAAATGTAGCCAACACTGTTACTTTAATTCATTCAATTTATGTACTGTTTTTAATAATCCTTGTGCCACATCAAAAGGTCCTTTTGTGCCCAACATTTTCTGCACTAGACTACTAGTAAAAATATCCTGTTCTTTGCAGGTGCTAGTCTCTACCACAGCCTCTGTTAAGGCCCACATTCTAGCCATTTCAGATAATATATTTGTCCATAACAATTCAAAGCATGGCAGAAGACCAAGAAGATTTGAGCTGATTGAAGGTACAGTAATTACAAGCATGCTTCTAATAATTCCATGATTACTAATGATTCAATTCAAAATCAAACGCACACAACTAACTATGCAATTCAAATCAGTGTGGTCACTGAAAGTTTGTTCATATGATAATGTGTAGGTAAATATACAGTAGAAGAAGAGTATACAATATTTTTTTGATTGTTTGTGATTTCTTTTAGCATGCATTTGCTGTAGTTTATGTAGACCTATCTCTGAAGTGCAATACCCTTACTCAGTGTATTGAGCTGATATTTGTGTGTTAATTTAGCTGAGATCCCCTGCATCAAGGCCATCAGTCCGAGTGAAGGTTGGACGTCAGGTGGAGCCTCAGTGATTATTATTGGAGATCAGTTCTTTGATGGTCTACAAGTGGTTTTCGGAACAGTTATGGTCTGGAGTGAGGTGTGTAACAGTCTCAATCGCCAAACAAATTACTATAAATGTGACCCTGGACCACAAAACCAGTCTTAAGTCGCTGGGGTATATTTGTAGCAATAGCCAAAAATACATTGTATGGGTCAAAATTATAGATTTTCAGAACAGAGCAAGATCTATACATCCGTTTGATAGACTCTGTGACCAAACAGGTAAAATAGTTTATGCACTTTAATATTATTTGCAAGAATATGTTGTGTGTGTTAGCACTAAAAGATCACTTCAGTGAAGACTAAATGCTTAAATAAAAATCATAACTATGAAGTGATAATGTGAATGATATATAATTGAAATATACTATATAATTTACCAATGTTATATGTAGGGTGTGTTGTCTACAGATCTTTTTTTCACTGAAATGCACGTAAATACTGACATGATACATTTATATATTTTCTTCTGCATAACATTAACCTGCCGTTTGCCTATATTACTATGACTCTTTCAGGCAATTGTGTTTGAAGGTCAAGATAAAAACCCTGAAATGTGTCGTGTTCTTCTCACTCATGAGATAATGTGCAGGTAACTTGTGTCAAACACACTTAACTTATGTAATCTCATGCAAACAGACACACAAAGTCATAAAATAGTCTTACAAATTAGTGTTTATTTGCTGTAATTATAATATGCAGGGTTTTTTTTTCTGTTGATGCAGTGATAATTGTGTTAATCTCTATATGTGAATTTTCAGCCGATGTTGTGATAAGAAAAGTTGTGGAAACAGGAACGAAACACCATCAGACCCCATCATTATTGACCGGTAGGGCAATCAGCTGCATTCTGTAAGATTATAAATGAATAAAGAAATGTATGTATGTACTATAATATGTGTAAGTACAAATAAAGGCAAGAAAAAGTGTATTGTTATTACTTATAAAGATATTACTTACAGAAATTGGGATTCGTCAGCTTTAAGGATAAAAGCAGACAGACAGATTGTACTCTTTCATCTCTCCAATTCTCAGTTTCTAATATTTTCCTCTTCTTACATCATTCTCTCAGTGACTCTTTTTCTCTATTCCCTGATCGACAAATACCTTTACATGTTTGCATGTTTTCTTGTTATTGCATAGGTTCTTCCTGAAATTTTTTCTCAAATGTAATCAAAATTGCCTGAAAAATGCAGGGAACCCACGAGACACGCGTCGTTTCCAGGTACACACACAACTTCATACTGTATATTCATATCACTGATAATGTGTCTGATAATGGATCTATTAATCAACATGAAATATTTAATGAAAAGGCTGTCCCTTACAGTACTGAATTACACTTTAGAAGTGCAATAGTAAAAACTATAAATGTAGCCAACACTGTTACTTTAATTCATTCAATTTATGTACTGTTTTTAATAATCCTTGTGCCACATCAAAAGGTCCTTTTGTGCCCAACATTTTCTGCACTAGACTACTAGTAAAAATATCCTGTTCTTTGCAGGTGCTAGTCTCTACCACAGCCTCTGTTAAGGCCCACATTCTAGCCATTTCAGATAATATATTTGTCCATAACAATTCAAAGCATGGCAGAAGACCAAGAAGATTTGAGCTGATTGAAGGTACAGTAATTACAAGCATGCTTCTAATAATTCCATGATTACTAATGATTCAATTCAAAATCAAACGCACACAACTAACTATGCAATTCAAATCAGTGTGGTCACTGAAAGTTTGTTCATATGATAATGTGTAGGTAAATATACAGTAGAAGAAGAGTATACAATATTTTTTTGATTGTTTGTGATTTCTTTTAGCATGCATTTGCTGTAGTTTATGTAGACCTATCTCTGAAGTGCAATACCCTTACTCAGTGTATTGAGCTGATATTTGTGTGTTAATTTAGCTGAGATCCCCTGCATCAAGGCCATCAGTCCGAGTGAAGGTTGGACGTCAGGTGGAGCCTCAGTGATTATTATTGGAGATCAGTTCTTTGATGGTCTACAAGTGGTTTTCGGAACAGTTATGGTCTGGAGTGAGGTGTGTAACAGTCTCAATCTCTGTTGCCAAACAAATGACTATAAATGTGACCCTGGACCACAAAACCAGTCTTAAGTCGCTGGGGTATATTTGTAGCAATAGCCAAAAATACATTGTATGGGTCAAAATTATAGATTTTTCTTTTATGCCAAAAATCATTGGGACATTAAGTAAAGATCATGTTCCATGACGATATTTTGAAAATGTTCTACTGTAAATATATCAAAACTTAATTTTTGATTAGTAATATGCATTGCTAAGAACTTCATTTGGACAACTTTAAAGACTTTAGATTTTTTTGCACCCTCAGATTCCAGATTTTCAAATAGTTGTATCTCGGCCGAATATTGTCCTATAACAAACCATACATCAATGTAAAGCTTATTTATTCAGCTTTCATGTGATGTATACATCTCAATTTAAAAAAATTGACCCTTATGACTGATTTTGTGGTCCATGGTCACAAATACATTTTTGTTTCATTTTTAGCTTCCTTTTTCCATTTGTTTATTTTTTGGACATCCTTCACCACAGATTTCTCACAGAGCTTTGCTAATTTTGGAAGGTGTGAAATACATTGTTGCCAATATATATGCCTTCAGTAATTTTGTTTCATATTTTCAAATAATGATGTACATGATGTACTCTCTCCACAGAGAGATTTCTGCTTCCTGAGAGGGTGATGACTTTTTCCTTTTTGTTGTAGGTGATTACACCACATGCGATTCGTTTGCAGACTCCACCTCGTCACATCCCTGGTGTTGTAGAAGTTACACTGTCCTACAAATCCAAGCAGTTCTGCAGAGGACCTCCAGGACGCTTTATTTACACTGGTAAGAATTATAAAGTTTGGAAAAACTCACAAATTTTGCAATTTACCATAACCATAGTTATACCATGGAATATTTTCAGTTTTTAAGAATATCTGAAAAGCAGATGTATGATTTTTTTCCTGTTAAATAATGCCTTTTTTTGGAAGCTCAGGCAATCTAATTAGTTGTTGCTTGTCTGATACATTACAGTTTAACTTTGAAAAGTGTTTCACTTTTAAGCTTTAAATGAGCCAACCATTGACTACGGATTCCAGCGGCTGCAGAAGGTGATTCCTCATCATCCAGGCGATATGGAAAGACTACCAAAAGTGAGCCAGAAATGCTTAGTTGATTTCTTCCTAAATTCTGTGTTGTCCATTTTAATTGTTCTAGGTTCTGTTTTAAATTTTTAATTCAATTGTAAGCCATTAAATAGCATGTCTAATAAATGTAACTGTCCAAAAGATCATTTTTTCTGTGCTCATTATTTTATTTGACATTTCAAAACACAATTAAAAATCATTTTGATTGACAGGAGGTCTTACTGAAGAGAGCAGCTGATCTCTTAGAGATGTTTTATGGAATGCCTCACAACAACCAGGTCAACATAACATTTAGATTTACTCAGGCTTGCTATCCCGATATGTTTGCTGCTGAAATCCAGAGTGGGAAGTGATGTAATTTCTGTGCATTTATATGTGTCTGACCATAGGAGATGATTCTGAAGCGTGCGTCTGATATAGCAGAGGTACTCCACGCCATCCCACGAAACCCATCCCACACAAATTCACATGGAATGATGGGTGTAAACTCCTTTGATGCACAGTTACCCATGAACACAGAAATTTCACCGGATGTAGAACGAGGTATGTTGTATAAACGCATTTGAGAATGGTACATATGCACCACAACAGCGTGTTAATAAATGAATGTCTCTCAGTGTCTCTTTCAGTGGGTTTCAGTCGGAGTTCAAACAGTGGCTTCATTGCAGACAGCACATCCCAGCAGTCTGAATTCAGCAATACCAATACGTGCATGAATACACACACACATTCACACTCTCACTCCAACATGCCAAGACACACACACTCAGACACACACCTGTCCATGGCTGGGCACACACAAACACACACACGCCCTTCTGTGTCAAACTTCTCTGTGGCCACACAGCCATTCTTAGACAGTCCTACAGCGGACACACAACACTACATTGGTAAGAACACAGCTTTCTCGCTGTCTGTAACTGTCAAGCATGGAGAATTTTTTAACCAATTTTTTTTTCCAAAAGGTCAACATTCAAAATTGGTTACAGTTGAATTATGAATTTATCTGAATTTAAGTTCATTTTAATTCTACTTCCTTGCATTCAAATTATGATTGCAGCACAACCCAGAATTTAATTAGCATTTATAATTAACCCAATTATACTTACACAAAATAACATTTGTAAATGATATTTGTTGTAAAAATCCATGTATACTATGGACACATTTCTGTTTATTTTTGAACATTATTATAATCAAGATATTATCAATCTGAATCATGGTCAAATTGCATAATGATCATAATAAATTATTTACACTCATCCTGAAGACAAATATATATATATATATATATAGATAGATAGATATCCGTGGTTCATTTAAACCTTCCTTGTCTCCTTTTCTTTCATGCATGTCTGTAGTGAAGCAAAAAAGTGCATTTGCTCCAGTTCTGAAGCTGCAGTCCTCAACAGAACAAGCTTCAGGTGTCCCCGTCTGCACGGTAATGGCACATGACATGCATGTATTTACACACAAGCTTCTCTCACCTGCTCTTTTCGTCTACCCTATAATACCTTAAATTGTGACAGTACATAATGTACTGAGTGTGCAAATCTGACAGACTCATGTCTATTCTGTTTGTTTTTTACAGCCTTGCATGGACTAGTGACACCAGTCACACTCTCACATGGACAAATGAAAAACTCCATTTAGAAGTTGTGATCTTTGTAGTCAGGGAACAACAGCGTCTGTTTTGCATTTTGAAGGTTCTCCCAGTGCGGGCAATACAAAAACAATAAAAAATGTTAAATCATATTGGTTGGTGATAAAGCAACTTTTTTGTTAAATGTCGTAGACAATATGCACCTCTCTATTATTAGTGTATTTGTGGTCTGTGCCCAAGCCATTAAATATAAATATTACCTATGTATGTTAACTTTGTGTGTCATCTTGCTGAGTTCTGATTGGCTACTTAATCCCTCAGAGCACTAGAAATGTTTACATTTACACTATCATTCAAAAGATTGGGGTCAGTAAGATTTTCTCTTATGCTCAACGAGGTTGTGTTTATTTGATCAAATATGGTGAAATATTATTACTATTTAAAATAACTTTTCTATTTTAATATGTTTTCAAATGTAATTTATTCCTGTGATGGCAAAGCTGAACCTTCCGCAGCCATTATTCCAGTCTTTAGTGACATTATACTAAAGTTAAACTAAGCTTTTCCTGGAACATTTGTCTACTAAAACTCACTATTATTTAAAGAAAAGGAAAAATGGTCTAAACATTGGACATGGATTGGTACTAGACTAACTGGTGACAATGACAATGGTTATTTTCTAACAAGGATTTATTTCAGCCCAGGTTTCACATGGACTATGTCTCTACAAGTCTATTCTTCATGTCTCATTAAATTCTCATATAGGTTGAGAATTGCTCTTATGGCAGGGGAGGCAGCTCTGTTTGTGTTCTAGAAGATACTTCACTGAATTCTCAAATTAGCTCTCTTTCAAACGATCAAGTTTTACTATAAGGAGGAGGCATCAAAAATAAAACCAAATGCTGAACATGGAGTTTGTCTCTTAGAAATCTGAGCGCATGAGTGAGTCCTCCCTGTGTGTGAGAGAGGAGGCTGCACATTCACCTGAACACTGAAAATCCTGTTGTAGATGTTAAAACCCCTTCACAACAGTACTACCAATGTGTGATTTGTCTTTTGTTCACATCTGTCTTTATGAAATGGAGTGCAAAATGAGGAGTTATTCTCTTTAATAAGAAGAATTAATGTATGAATCAAGTATATTATAATTTTTCTGTTATCAAGATTTGCTCGACCTGAATCAATCAACATTAAATATGTTATTACAAAACGCTGCTGGCAGTGAGGCAGATTGAGAGCAAAATTGTCCAATCACAGAGCTGAGCGCAAATATGCTGTGCTCTGATTGGTCGGTTGTCCTTACATCGTTTACCAAGCAGGAAGTGAAATTAAGAAATGTTCAGTCCTGTTCCGAAGACATTAAAAACGTCCCTGGCGTCCATTGCTCGTTGTAATCATGTATGTTGTATCTATGTTATTTTTCTCTTTGCTAATACGCTCACAAGTGTAATAAAAAAGAATGTCATCTTGTAATTACTGTCGGTGATTTTACTTCTGCGTGAAAAAGTAACTGTTGATGTTTTGAGTGTGCGGGTCTATGACGTGTGACAGCTGCTTATGTGCGTGCGAGTTTTTGTCTCACGTGACTTCAGTATATATTGCATGTGTTTAACAGCGTTTTGACAGCAGATTGCTTGCTTTGTGCAGTTTGTGATGTCTGACAGCGGTTCTTGTGTGCTGCGGGATGTGACTCTCTGCTCGCCAGTAGGAGAAATCCTGCTGAGCGGCTGTGAGAAGGGAGTTCATACCATTAATATCAAACTGGGAACAGACAAAGAGGAAAGGTAACTCTCGCAAACATGACACAAACTGTCAGACATTAGCCAGTCATAACATGTAAACCACACGGTCGCCGTGATTGTGCAAAGTAAGACTGGATCAACTTTTTTTTTTTTTGCTGATCCTGGATCAACATTATTGTCCAATAAAACCCCTTCACAACAGTACTACCAATGTGTGATTTGTCTTTTGTTCACATCTGTCTTTATGAAATGGAGTGCAAAATGAGGAGTTATTCTCTTTAATAAGAAGAATTAATGTATGAATCAAGTATATTATAATTTTTCTGTTATCAAGATTTGCTCGACCTGAATCAATCAACATTAAATATGTTATTACAAAACGCTGCTGGCAGTGAGGCAGATTGAGAGCAAAATTGTCCAATCACAGAGCTGAGCGCAAATATGCTGTGCTCTGATTGGTCGGTTGTCCTTACATCGTTTACCAAGCAGGAAGTGAAATTAAGAAATGTTCAGTCATGTTCCGAAGACATTAAAAACGTCCCTGGCGTCCATTGCTCGTTGTAATCATGTATGTTGTATCTATGTTATTTTTCTCTTTGCTAATACGCTCACAAGTGTAATAAAAAAGAATGTCATCTTGTAATTACTGTCGGTGATTTTACTTCTGCGTGAAAAAGTAACTGTTGATGTTTTGAGTGTGCGGGTCTATGACGTGTGACAGCTGCTTATGTGCGTGCGAGTTTTTGTCTCACGTGACTTCAGTATATATTGCATGTGTTTAACAGCGTTTTGACAGCAGATTGCTTGCTTTGTGCAGTTTGTGATGTCTGACAGCGGTTCTTGTGTGCTGCGGGATGTGACTCTCTGCTCGCCAGTAGGAGAAATCCTGCTGAGCGGCTGTGAGAAGGGAGTTCATACCATTAATATCAAACTGGGAACAGACAAAGAGGAAAGGTAACTCTCGCAAACATGACACAAACTGTCAGACATTAGCCAGTCATAACATGTAAACCACACGGTCGCCGTGATTGTGCAAAGTAAGACTGGATCAACTTTTTTTTTTTTTGCTGATCCTGGATCAACATTATTGTCCAAAACATAGACCTAACCCTATCCCTACCCCTAAACCTAACCCTACCCATAATCTCTAAAATCAGAGGGAAATGATAGTTGAATCACAAGGGTGTAGAAGCACCTAACTCTGGTTGTAAGGCTAAAATTGACATTTCCTGTAAACTTATCCCTCAATTCTGATTGGTTGATTGGAATGTTGTTCCAGGATCAACAAGGATGTTAATCCAGGAACATGTTGCACTTGGTGAAATCGCATTCACGAAAACCACACGCAGTGCTGCTAGTATTGGGGGAAACAAAGCTATTCGAAATTCTGAATCAATTGAACCATTTGTTTCACAAAGTGATTCACTGTTTTGAAGCGCTCGAAACATCACATGCTTCACAAAACGTTTATTGATGGAGTCGTGTGGATTATTATGGTGTTTCTATCAGCTGTTTGAACTCTCATTCTGACGGCACCCATTCACTGCAGAGGATCCACGGTGAGCAAGTGATGTAATGCTAAATTTCTCTAGATCTGCTCCGATGAACAAACAAATTAATCTACATATACAGTGCATTTTCAACAAAATGTCCGTTAATGTGTATCCTGTTGTAGTGTACACCCTGTTGGCCAGTCAGAAATGAGCCCTGAGTTGCAGCGCTGTGTTGACTGGCTTCAGTGCTACTTCATGAAACCCGAGTCCATCAGCGCTCTTCCTTTGCCTGCCTTACACCATCCGCTAATGCAGAGTGGTTAGTCACATACACGCACTACTCCACTATATCTGTAGTTCGTTTCAAGTAAAAACAAGGCTTTTAACTGCCACTGTTTTCCTCCCTCTTTCTCTTTCTCAGACTCTTTTAAAGCACATGTGCTGTGGACTCTGTTTAAGGAAGTGGGACTTGGTAAAACGGTCTCCTACAAGCAGCTTGCTGAAATGATCGGCAATCCAAAAGCTGTGCGAGCAGTGGGTTCAGCCATGAAGAATAACCCGGTGAGATTGTTGCAACGATCATGACAGATTGATTTATCTGGAGGTATTTTTTCTCATTTGATGCAGCCTTTGTCTGTTGTTCTCTTAGGTTCCCCTGATAGTGCCATGCCACCGGGTGCTGCGTAGTTCAGGGGACAGTGGCTCATATATGGGAGGAAAGGGAGATGATATTAAAGTTTGGTTGCTCACTCATGAGAAAAAAGCATTGGAGCTCAATGCATCAAAGAATGAAAAATCCATCTGATGGACCCCAAATCCACTTCACGCTGCTTCTCAGTTTGTTCGCAAACATTTTATTAATTACGTTTTTTGATTTCTGATTGATTGGACAAATTATATTCCACTTTAGCAAACAGACCCTTTGTTGTTATCCATATATCTTCTATAGTTAAAGGAATATATTGGAATTGTGTTTTTGAGAACAGGTGGTTTGATTAGTTGTTCTGGTTGTCAGTGTTACATTGACATTGTTAAAATGTGATTTGAAAAATAATTCTGTATTTATGCTGTTTAATCCAAAGGATTATGGAAGAAATTGTGATTTTTTTTAATATCTTTTTTTTAGCTGACATGCATAAGTGATATTTTTTGCAGCAAATAATTTTGTATTCCGTATCTCATTTAGAATTATATAAGAAATGTTTTAAGCTAATTAACAGCTCTGTAAAGCAAATAAAATATTTGTTAATGGTGGATCAATAGTCAATAGAATAATACAATTTTTTAATGTATTTTTGAAGGAAGTCTGTTATGCTCACCAGTGAAAAAATGCATCATGGTTTCCACAGAAATATTAAACAGTAAAAACTTTTCAACATTAATCTCCAATAATAACTGATCATATTTGAGCACCAAATCATTATATTATAATGATTTATGAAGGATTATGTTACATAGAAGTACAAATAAAAGATCATAAAAAAGGACCCACTTTATATTGAGTGTCTTTAACTACTATTAAATTAATGATTTGATACAATGCATTTATTAGATACATGAATGCTTTTACATTGTACTTCTATTGAAAAATACCCTCGTCTAATTACATCTAGCCCTCCCTTAAACCTAACCAAACCACTAATCCTGTCCCTAAACATATTCAAGCTTTTGACCAGTGTGTATTTTGTCACACTAATAAATGCGTCATCACAGACATTTGTATTTTTTAATCATTAGCAATTATGTGTTACTCCATAATGTGTCTAACATAATGCAAATTTAGTTATACTCTTGAGCACAAATATCAAAAGTTTCTGATTAAATAGTCGGAGAATCAGCATTTAGCTGCCATACGAACACTTCCACTTGGATGTCAGACAGACAGTCATGATCTCTTTTAATGGGAGGATGAAGGAGGGGCGTCCCTGGGGAGATCTCCACAGTCCTTGGTGTGATACTGCCTTATATTGTGTTTAATCACATGTGACATGCGCTGCTTCCACTGCCTCAGGCTGTGCTGATCTCTCACTAAGCCTTCACATACGGCTTCATGCCACCTTACAAAAGAGCAATTTGTGGCTGACAGAATAAAACAGTTGGATCAAGCTCAGTGAACGCAAACCCTCCCTGCAATTTCAAATCATTTAATGGAGTGTGGGAGCTGCTATCATAACTGTACAGGTTTGTATCCATTTCCTGTGACACTTTACACAAAAAGGTTAGACTATAGAATATAAAACTCTTTCATTTTCTTTTTCCTTTTCAGTAGATGATAAAAAAAAACATTGGCTGTTTTCTATTAAATAATATTTGTAATTTACCAAATGTAACATGTTAGTTTGTAGTTATTGAAAATATCTTTGTTTAAGAGTAAATTACTTAATTTTTGTTTTTGCCTTAAAAAAAAATCTCATGTTTAATTCCCTCAGATGCTTTAAAACCACTGTTATTATATTTGCCCTTTTTAGCCAAGTTTTTTAAATGTCTATATACATGTCTGTATATATTGTTTTATTTTTAGTTATTTTAGCAGATCAAGTTAAACTAAATAAAAAGAAATAATGTTGCTTTGGATATTAGCTGAAATAAAATAAGTCTGTTTTTATTATTTTATTTCATTTCATTTTTTTTTAAATTCCAAATAACACCTTTTTTTTTTGTTGCATATATTTAGTTAATAACCATATCCAAAGCAATTACGAATGAGGAATACAAGCGTTTCATATTACTCAAAAAATATAGCAATCCACAGTTTCAAACATCTTCTATAATAGTACAAGTGGGAAGGACATTTTATAGTGTTAATATTATTATTTCCTACAATATCTATGGTAGAGGTTGAATGGTTGAGCACACATTGCACGCTATATTAATCTCTATAATGTTTTAAAAAATGTAATAGTATTATTAGTATGTCAGGTGTATCAAGGATCAAGTCTGATAAAGTTTAAATTATAAAAACCGAAAATGTCTTTGTGTCTGTCTTTGTGCTGTTATTGTATGGTTTGCTGCAGAAACTTTTCTTTGGTGTAATAGCATTCAGAACAAACTGCTTGAAACTTGTAGAAACTTCACAGGAAGCGATGTTGGGTGATGTTCTTTTGAGATGTCAGCAGAGGTGGAAGGCTAATCCGCTGAGGATAAGACAACATATACTAACAAATCCATGTAAGGTATAAGATTTAACATTTAGATTATTATACACTTGAACAAGGGACATGATCTAGGGGGAGTATCCGTGTAATTAGTCTACTGTAAATCATTTGTCAGAGTAAGACGTGATCAAACTGTAGCTTTTAGTGGTTCAGAATGATAATAAACTATGATTTAAAAGTAAAGATTCTCTTTTGATTGACAGAATGAAGGTGATTTACAATATTATCCCTGTGCTGCATTAGCCCCATGCTGCTGTTATAATCTTCAAAGCATGTAATGTGTCAGAACAAATCATGGGTTATGGTTATACTTAAAGAAATTGTTCTGATTTTCTGAGCAGGTTTTGCTAAACACTAACCCTCACCTTTGAGGCCTGATTTTCAGAGTCTTTCCAAGAAGATTTTCAGTTTGTATCTGTCACACCGGTGAACGTATCATGCAGATGCTGCATTAAGCTTCATGTTCAGAGGTGATAATGTCTAAGCACTTAAATATGATTAATGTGTCACACCATCCAAGATCTCACCTCACAGATTCACCTTTGACACTCACATATCACTGATGTTATCACAGCTCTCTGAATTCCCTTCAGTTTGTGAACTATGTGGAGCTACTGAGCAAAGTCATCAGTATCAGAGGTGTAAAGCTGTCTCAATCAAAATCCTAATATAGAAGACCTGTTGGAGAAGGTACATTTTCAGTTGCTAATAGCTCAGCTATCTGACCATCTGTTCAGTCCTAATAAAGTATATTGACATACTTTTATTGAACCTTACATGTATTCGGTTTACTGACCCCTATGGAAAAAAGACAGCATGTTGGATAGGTATGTTTTGAAGCATGGTAGCTGGTTTGAGGTGGTTTAAGCTGGTCCTTAGTTGGTTATGAGCTGGTCTTGAGCTGGTAAGCTAGTTATGAGCTGGTCCTGAGCAGGATCTAGTTGCTTAGGACCAGCTTATGTCCAGCTAAAACCAGCTCATGACCAACTAAGGACCAACTTAAGCCAGCTCAAACCAGCTACTATGCTTCCAAACATACCTAACCAGCATATGGTTTTTTTTTTTCCAACAGGAACAGTTAAACTGGATGTCAGTTAACATAATTAGGCCTACTGACATACCAAAATAATTGTCTAGTTTTCGACGTTACACTTTAATTCAATTTTCAATCATATTATTCAGTGCTTTGAAATCTTATAGCAAACAAATGTGATAAGCTAACAGATAATCTTTGTAAATGCTTATGATATATTTATTAGCCACAACACATTTAATTGGCTTCCGTCTTGAATATTAAAACAATTTACAGCCTAATCTCCAGAGTGAATAAACTATAAAAATGTTGTCGCAACTTTTTCGTGGTCACTTTGTAGCCATATCCAGATACAACAGCGCCACCATGTGGAAGAAAAAATGGGATTTGTATGTTTTGTCTATATTCTGGGAAAAAGGCCTTTGGTTATCTGATCAATTAGTGCAACTTTTGCTTCAGCTCTGAGCACATTTAATATTCATTTTGAACAAATTAGGCATACTAGGTATTTACAGTATATATGTGCCTCCAATGCAGAATATATTTATTAAAACCATACGAGGAGGATATTCCAGTAGGACTCAATAAAACATGTTGTTCACATGGAATAAAACTTAAATTTATTCTCATTGGCTCCAAGGGTTTGTCTTCATCCTTTATGCTTTTAAACTCTTCCTCGTCTGTTGGGAAATCTCTGTTCTTTCAGAGGCAAACCTTCAGCATCCACTTCATTCACCTGTAATTATAATAGAAGGACATCACTGATCAGTTTCACACTGGGAAATGAAGCTGCGGATGTTTTCCAGTATAAGAAAGAGAAACAGTCATGCTCTTACTATGTGTATCGGTGAAAGCCGCTCCATTGATATGTGCCTCCAATGCAGAATATATTTATTAAAACCATACGAGGAGGATATTCCAGTAGGACTCAATAAAACATGTTGTTCACATGGAATAAAACTTAAATTTATTCTCATTGGCTCCAAGGGTTTGTCTTCATCCTTTATGCTTTTAAACTCTTCCTCGTCTGTTGGGAAATCTCTGTTCTTTCAGAGGCAAACCTTCAGCATCCACTTCATTCACCTGTAATTATAATAGAAGGACATCACTGATCAGTTTCACACTGGGAAACGAAGCTGCGGATGTTTTCCAGTATAAGAAAGAGAAACAGTCATGCTCTTACTATGCGTATCGGTGAAAGCCGCTCCATTGGAGAGTCTGCAGGAATGGACAGTACTGCATCACCAGCATCCATCATCTGATGGAGACAGATTTTTACTCGATGTTAGCACTCACACATCTCAGTACTTTGAATATTTTCAGTTTTTCATGCTACCCCATGTTACAACACTCCCCGGTAACTAAAAAGGACCAAAGTGGACATGCAATGGGATGGACAAACACTTAAAAAATCTAACAGACAAATGAGAACAAGAGGATAAGCTCACCCTAAATGTTGCCTCCACTTCACCAACGCTTCTCTTTCCGCCAGGAAGCCAACCGTATGACCAGTGCTGGCAAAGACTAACCTCCAACACACACACTAGCATTAACAACTGGACCAGCAACCTCCCGTTCCACTCCATGCTAAAACTAAAACAAAGACATTTGATATAGGCAACATTGTACTGTCATATAAATGTTAACTTTTGGTGGGTTGTTTAGTTAGTTAGTTACATTATCTCCCAGTTCAGATTCTTACAATAGGAAAAATGCAATGTTCAATTATTTGGTTCTATAAATCCATTAAAACAAAATTATTAACATCACACATATTAATTTGTTACCTGTCTAAGGAATAACAACTAAATGGAGAGTCAAAGTACAATGTGATTACACTCATCCCTATTTTTCAACAATTTATGCAACAGAAACCATACAAAGAAATTATATCATTTCTCTAAACAATGTAAATATTCATGAAAAGGAATTCAAGTTTATTTTACTTTTAAGAGGTTAAAGCAGTGGATTAAATCATGTGACTGAATATAACAAAGGTTGTTGCAAAAATGATGGTAAGTTAAGATTTCAAATATAGATTTATGAAACAAATATAGATTTCGAGTCGCTTGAATGTTTTCTAAACTGGATGATAATAATGTAAAGTCTTGAATGTAAAGTCTAAACTGGTACATTTATCCCAATCTGATATTCTTAAAACAATATAGAATTTTGAGAGTAAAAAATCTCTTACCTGCTGTCTTTGCTCAAGATGAATCTTTGCTCAAGATGAAGTGTGTTGTTCTTGGTCTCTTTTATACAGTCCTTCTAAAATGAGTTGTAATGCTCTTTCGTCATCAGGAGACTTGCAAACACAGGTGCAGGTTTCTCTCTAATGCGCGCTCTAATGCACACCTGGGCCTGGATGTCTAAGACTGAAAAATAACTGTCATGGGAACCAGCTAATGGACCTGTTTAAACCCTGAGATGAATTAAATAATGTGTTTAAATGGTTTAAACAGCCACATCAACACACAGGGGAACAGATGAATTATATAAAGGCCAAAACACATAATGGATGTGTCAAACAAAGACTGAGTCATCTGACTGTCAATCAAGTATTTGCTGGGGTATGTTTTTAAATAGACTTACATAAAATAATGTTCCATAACTAACTAAATAACTGTTACATTTGGTAATTGTTTACTCACAAACATTTTCTCTATGTGTCCAACTTTGATATAATATTTCCATATTTATCTGAAAGTATACTGACTAAACAACCAACCAACCAAACAAGCAGGCCAGTCTCTTCTAATGTAGGCTAATCTGTATTTTTCATCATTATTCTATAAGGAATGAATTGTATTTGTATAAAGAAAAATGGTTTTTAAAAATATCTTTCATAACATAGTTGAGAATCATCTTTATATAAAGTTTGGTATAAAAAAATTAAAATTGATTTGTGATTAAAACAAAAATCCCACTGTTTTTGCCTTTTCATGTCTATTTGTGTCTTTTTATTTTTTTTAAAACAGGACTTTTTAATGTCCCGATGTCCTCTACAGAGGACATCAGAGTTCCAGATCTATACTCGCGCCCTTATTATTTCAGTTATTTTGCCTTTGATGTAAATAAACATGTGCAAACAATATACTTGCTCTTGTGAATTTATTTTGATGTTAATTACATTGTGTGAGCTGTCTCTTTAATACCGTGTGGTTTATATACATGTTGCTGCTGATTGGGCTGACATTTTTGACACACCCACCAAACAAGAGAAAACGCATCTCAAACCCGGTTGCACACCGTTTCCAGGAAACATGTCGTTCAAACCGGAAACCGTAGCAAAACGGTTCACTCCGGTTTGAGCTTGAACTTGCCCCCTGATTCAGGTCATCAGCTCATTAGTAGAGA